GGTACTAAATTGTTTTGGACCTACTTAAAAAGTGGAACTGGTAGTTTTCTTTTTTGTTTGCTTGTCTGTTTTGATCTAGGGGTTACCATAAAAAAAATCATCGAGGAACTAATGGGAAGCTTAGAAACCTGAGCTTTATGTGTATTTCCCATTTGATCATACAGGATATTAAACAGCTACATACTTAAAGGTTAGATATTTAATAAAAGCGATATTTTTTTTACCACTTCATCAAAGAAAGTCTTAGGTGAAATTGTCTTTTTTCTTTTTTCCTGAGAGTGCATTGTGGTAAAAACTGTAATAACTACTCGAATAGTTTGGTGCCACTGCCTAGATTCATACTAAGGTGTCAGTACTTTTACCTACAATTGCTTTTGCTCCACCAGTAAATGCCAATATGGTGAAAAAGGCAAATAATTTCTAAATGTTGTTATAAAAATAGTCTTGACCTTACATGTCCATTGAAAATGGATCCCCAGGGACCATGCTTTGAAAACCACTAAATTAAAGGAATGATCAAATGTAATCAATGTGAAGATCTTCATATAACATAATGGCAGACACCTTCTAGTTATTCATGTCTTGCTCTCTCCTCTCTTACTGCATAATCCTTGGCCTGGAAACCAGTGGCCTCATTCTGAGTTTATTAAGCTGTTCTTTGTTCTTAAGTTCTAAGAATAAATCATCTACTCTTGAACTCTAGACCCAGGCTTTTTGCAAGCTACTGACAGTGACCCTGGTTTTCTATACATTTGTCACTCTCAAGACTTTTGCCAACCAGATCCATTGATGAGGCAGAAAACTTGGTGTCAAATAATAGAATTTGATGGCTAACAAGCAAAAAAGGAATTTACTGAAAAGAAACCAGGTGGCTCACAAAACTGACTAGAAGGCTGGTGTCTCAGTTTCAAGCTTGAAATGAGGGAGGAAAAGCAGAGCCAAGATCACGCCCCAGATCACAGCATTTGGAATGCATTCGCTGCCTCTGGATACTCACTGTCCCATCACTGAGTTCTTGACTCCACCAGAGCTGCTGAAGATAACCTCTGACCGACTCCACACCTCTGTGTCATTTTCTCAAAATTCAACTCTTGGGTGGGAGCAAGTGATTGATCGTGGTTGAGTC